CGGTCGACCGATCAGCGATCAGAGAGATTACCAGGTTTTGGTTTCGGGTTTTTAGTTGTTGGGTTTTGGGTTTCGGGTCGGGTTGGGGAGTTGGTATTTATACCAACTCAACCCAGGAGAGATCTCCTCAGCCCCAAACGTAAACCCTAGCCCCCTCTCTTCTTCCTCAAAACCCTAACTGGATTTTGGCAATCTGGGAGCAGTCCTTGGGGATTTTCGGCAGATCGTGGGTTTTCAGCGAAGGGGATCAACATCTTACAGATCTAGGGCATTATCAGCAACCAAGGCGAGTAATTTCTCGCCCAACCCCCACCCCCTTTGGTTTAAACATCAAGAACTGAGTTTTTATTGGATTTATGGAGCCAAATTCGTATCTTTGTTTAGCTAATAGTTTACTATAGCCTAGAATATGGGTTTGGGGCTTAATATGTTGTCAAAACTCACCCATGCCCTGTTAAAGAAGATCTAGATCTGAGTTTTTGCCTAAAAGAGTTTCAAACATCTTTACAGCTTTTAAAACGATTTGGATTTGTTTCTCATGGATTTAAGATCTTGAAAATATAGATTTCAAACTTTGGTTTTGGTTGTGTATTTTCAGTATGATCCCATTTTTATCAAATACCCATGTTATCGAAATCTTTGGTTCCAGGTTTTAGCAGCTGACAGAACCCAGGTAGGGTTCTGTTCGCTCGGCGGTCGACCGACGCGGTCGACCGCTGAGCTCGAGTCAGGGCTTCGGTCGACCGCGTCATTTATTCGGTCGACCGCTATTTGATTTCGGTCGACCGCGTCATTTTTCGGTCGACCGCGATGTCTGGTCGGTCGACCGATATTCCTGGCGGTCGACCGTCCTGATTTGTATCAGAGTTCGGTCGACCGTATCGGTCGACCGCCGACCCCTCTGTTGCAGATTTCCAGATTTGGTGTTTTTGGGTATTTTTACTCCTATTCGGGGTTTTGTCTGGTTTATCTGACCTAGTTATTAGCCCCACTATGTGTCCATGCATGATAGATGACCTGAGGGTATGAATTTGGGACACATATACCGATTTGGTTATGAAAACTGATAAGTAGATTTCACTACATACTTGTGGCGGCCTTATGCAAATCCCTACAGTCCTCGTGTTGGACTATAATCCATAGAAGTCCTCGTGTTGGACTATAAATTCATTCCAGTCCTCGTGTTGGACATTTGCCACTTAATCTATGAGTTTGGAAAACTACGACATAAATAGTTTCCTGATTTGGACATAGTTCTTAACCCTTCATATGACTTCTTCACAGAAGTTCACGACATGATGTTGACATGACACTTATGCAAGTAGTAATATGACATTCATGTTAGCTATGGTATGGCACTGTAATTTGTTCTGAGATTAGCTGTATTTCTTGATTTATTGTTTCTGTACTAGAATCTCGGGTTTGGTGTTTAGAGATTTACAATTTGAGATACAAGGTATATACATGAGGGTTTCCTTGTTTGGATTATTTCGCTCGACGTACCTATTCTCGTGTTGTGAATTTCTAAATATTAAAACCCTCCCTCGTAAGATCAAGGATTTTAGATCTATTATATATATTATCTGTATTTTCTTATGCAACGAGCCCTGTTCCCTTGGGGTTGGTTGTGATGTTACTCGCTAGCGCTTTGACGCTCGTTGTCCCTCCCCCTTTCAGGTCACGAGCCAGGAGCACGGAGAGCCGCAGGTTGATAGCGGACCACATTAGTGTTCAGCTTTACTTTCTAGCTATGTATTATTTTCTTTGGGCTCCACTGTAGTGTGGTTAGACATTTGAGGGTATTATTCTAGAAGTTGTAAAGGCTGTGAGCCTTATCTCTTTATCGTCAGATATTTGTATGTGAGACTTGTTGAGTATTTCAGTTTATCTACTCAGATCTTGACTATGTATTTCTGTATTGTTGGATGATGAGATATTTATGTGACTATTATCATTTCCTCAGTATTCCTTGTATTATCTCTTACCTGTTTTGTACCTACACCAGTTGTTGATTCTACTAGATAGATGTTAATTGTGATGGTGAAACATGTTATTGCACGGTGTGGTGCATAGCAGGTTTGACATTCTTGGTTTCACCTTGGACTGCAGCCTTGTGTGAACCCAGGGGCATCACAAGATCCCACGAGGAAGGTGTTTTGTAGGAGAAAATATAAAATCGGTTCTTATGTTGTGTGCGTGACAAGTAGGAGTGATAAGTGAATGTGATTGTGAAGAGATTGAGAGAGTGAAAATGGTGTGTGAATAGGTGCAAAGTGTAAGTGAGAGTGGATTTGAAAAAGAATGAGTATGATCAATAAGGTGAGAAGGAAAAAAAATAAAAAAAATCAAGAATAAAGAACAAAATTCTAGAATAAAAGAAAATGCAAGAAATTAAAGATGATGGATTCAATTATAGATATGGATAATCTAAAATTGAACCCACTTCTTAGAAAATGGTGATTCCCTAGAGGGTTCTAGCCTAAAGACGAATCAAACAAAATAAAAATAAACAAAAAGAAAAAAAACTAAACCCAAGAGGGTTCTAGTCTCAAGGTGAATAGCATAAGAAATTAAAATCTAACTACAAAATAAATTGCAAAATCTAAACTACAAAATAAAATTACAAGAATTAAATACAAGAAAATAAATCTATTCTATAAGCATGAAATAAATCTAAGGCAAGAGGGTTCTAGCCTCTTGGCTATTTAACAAGAAAATAAAATCTAAACTACAAGCATATAAATAAATCTACACTAATAAGCAATAAAAAAGAAAAAGAAAAGAAATGCAAAACTTCAAATAATTCTCCATCTTCATCTTCATCTTCATCATCCAACAAAGAGAAGAAGAGAAAAAATTTAAAGTAGTGAAAAAATTAATATTATTAATTGCAACAAAAGTTACAATTTTGGAAGGCCTTCTCAATTAAGAGTAGCCCTCCTCTCCAAAAGGAGTTACAAAAATTTTCACACCTCTAACCCCTCACTCTCTACCCCTATTTATAGTAATCTTCAATGAATATGAGCCATTGGATTTGTCTTGAGCCCCAAGCAACAATCTCCACCCTTGAATTTGCTTTTTGTTCTTTTCTAGCCCAAAATTCATTTGATTTTCCAAGTTAAATCAAAAATGAGAGCCATTGAATCAAACTTGAGCCACAAGACAAGCAAAATCAGCCATTGACGCGCGCTACAGTAATCTGGTATCGATGCAGGCAGCGATGCAGGTATCGATGCCAGCATCGATGCCTACATCGATGCCGACATCTATGCTCACTATTTCCAAATTCTGATTTCACGGATAGCTTCGTCTCGTCGAGATAGGCGATTTTCATTTATTATATGTTAAATTCTGTCTTCCGGATTAGGAAATATCGTCTTTTCTTTATGGCCAACCATTTTGAATATGATTTCTTTTCATATTGGATTTTTGATTTTCTCCGGCTTCTACAGGCTACACGACTTCATTCTGGGCTTTTGGATAATTTGGAAATTGATTTTCCAATGTGCTTCTTTGCTTCATTTCTTCATTTAATCAATGGGTTTTTGTTGAGAGATGAGAGTTTGAGATTTATTCTTCATTAACTTGCAATTAAAAGATAAAAATAATTATTAGTGGTATATTTATTCATATAAAATAGATAATGATGGTATAAAATTGTAATAAAATATGATTATCAGATAGGCAATTGAAACATTTGGATAACAATCAACATGTTTAACAAATTCCAAAATTTGGAGTGTTGTCATTGACACATCTGGTAATGTATTTTGCAACGCTCTTAATTCAGAAAACATATCATTAAAGTCAATATCAGATGAATCATTATGAGATAAAACTCTTTCAAGGTGATTGCAAGAATCTCTTAATTTATTATCATCTAATGACTTCAAAGTATTTGAATCACATAAAAATCCAAAAATGCTTTCAAATGTCTTCAATTGTTCAAATCTCTCTTTCAATGAAGTGATTGCCATATCCACAACAATAAAAAAATAATTAACTCTAAAAGACTCCTCCGTGGATTGTATTTCTTCATTATGATCATTTTCATCAAATTGTTTTTTCCTAATGATCCGGCGTTTTGTTGGAAATGTAGGATCCACATTCATATCAAATGCAACACTTCTAGCAATATCCAAACTCTTCTCAAACCCATCATTTCTAAAGTTTTCAAAATATAACATCACATCTGATACCTGTTTCATAGTAGTATTAATGTTCATATTTTTATTTTGTAATTTTTTGCTCACCATGTTAATAGCAAATAAAATGTCATACCAAATAATCATACCAAGTAAAAATTCAAAGTTCTCAATTGCAGTTACCAAACTTTCAGCTTCACTCTTTGTTTTCGCATCTTCTGAAGATTTATATAATTCTAACAAAGCCAATCTTATTTGAGGGGCTTGAAATCTAATGGCTTTTACACTTTTAACCCTACTCTCCCAACGGGTATTACACAAAGATTTGACAGTAAATGAAGAAACACTATCAAGTAAGATCTTCCACCGCTTAGTAGAACTCGAAAATAATGAATATATATGTTGCACAACTCCAAAAAATGAGATAGCTTTAACACAAGAATGTGCCATATCACTAAGAGTAAGATTGAGACTATGACAAGCACATGGCATATATAAAGCTCTTGGATTAATTTTAAGTAATCTTTTTTGAATACCTTGATGTTTACCTTTCATATTAGAACCATTATCATAACCTTGCCCTCTAATGTCATCAACATTAAGGTCAAGTAGTTTTAATACATTTAACAATTCATTAAAGAGCCCCAGTCCAGATGTATCATCTACCTTCAAAAATTCTAAGAAATACTCTTCTATTTTTATTTCATTACTTGACATATTTACACATCGTACAACTAGGACCATTTGTTCTTGATAACTTATATCTGGAGTGCCATCAAGAATTATAGAAAAATATTTTGCTTCTTTAATTCTCTTTATGATAGAAGTTTTAACACTAACGCCTAAACGAGAAATCAACTCATTTTGTATTCTGTGGCTAAGATAATGATAATGAACTTCATGATTTTGAATTCGTCTAACATGATCTAGCATTATTACATCAAATTCTGCGATCATCTCAATAATTCCCAAAAAATTACCATTATTATTTAGATAGAGCTTCTCATTAGATCCTCGAAAAGCCAAATGATTTTTAGCAAGACATTTTATGACGGCTACTATTCTAATAAAAACTTGTCGCCATCGTTCTTTTTCCATCATAATTTGTTTTTGCAACTCATTATCAATTGTTTCATTTTTTCCCCAACCTTAGTCTTAGCTCATTCCAGGAGCTCATATTAGTCATATGCTCAATACTATTTTCATGGTCAGATAGTCTTTTGCAAATGTCTCCAGTCTCTCAATCCTTCATTTGCTAATAAAGTTGTATTGCTATTAGATTTGAATAATTTACAACAAAAGCAAAACACTTTATCGACAAGTTTAGAGTAAATCAACCATTTTCGATCACTAATTTCTCCATTACTCAATTTTCTAGAATAATGTGCATATGAAAATTTCCTTCGGTCTTCATCTAAAGGAAAATTATTGTTCAATTCTCTTTCAAATCCCTTCTCAACTAAAATGTCCCTCGCTTTGTTATCTAGATTTTTCCATGTGCTAGGTTCATATATATCAAAATGTGGTAAAGTTTGACTATCATCACCTAGATTTTCATTATCAAATTCCCTTGGCATAACATTATCATTATGAAAATTCGGTAAAGATTGACCATCATCAACTACATTTTCATTATTTAAATCACTTGGCATAATATTTTCAGTAATAGGTTCACTTGAAACAATATTTTCATCACTTAAATTTTCATTTGATTCGCTAACTATAGGAACATTTGAACTTCTTGATAAAAATTTATCAATAGCTCCTTTTTGTGATTCAACAAGTTCTTCTTCTCGTTTTTTCTTTTTCCTTTTTTCATTTCCGCATAAATATTTTCGAGGTGCCATTTTATAAATAAACAAATAACTAAACAACTATATGAAATTTAAAACAAATAACAAATGTAATTTGCAATAGAATAACAAAGTAAAAGAAAAAGAATAATAGCACCTGATCAAATGTATGAATACGATAATGCCCAAATCACCAAAAAAATTGTTGCAATGTATCACTGTATCAGCCTTTGAGAACAAATAGCAGATGGACAAGTATGATTTTAATAGACAACCTTATATTAATTTTTATTGAACATATAATCTCTTTTTATAGTGGAGTATTATATGAGAGAAATTAATAATTATTTAATGTTAGTGTTAATTATAAAGGAGTAAAAGTGAATGTCAAACGGTAAAAATTCTAAACGGCTAAAATTTGTTACTAAAAATGAGGAGGTGGATTGATATTGTAGAAAGAAGATCCGGAGATATATAGCTCAAATAGGCATGATTGTTTAATTTCATTGATTACTAAATCTCGTAATTTTTGTCAAATTAACTAACTTGTTCAATGACTTCAACCAACTCTATTTACTAAGGTTTACTTTGACGGTTTGAATTCCTACAATATGATCTTCCTTTGGGTCAGATTTTGGGCCATAAAATACTTAATAGTATTAAAGAACTTTATAAAATTTTGGGGCCCCTTTTCAGTGGGGGCCCTGTGCGGTTGCGCCCCCCGGCCCTAGCCCAGGGCCGGCCCTGTTGAGATCTCTCGTAAGGGGCTTACTATTGGTTGTGTAATTTTGGGTAAATGTCATAATTTTTGGGATTTTATTTTATGGTGTTATTTATTACGACAATAAAATTGAGATTTTACTCTAAGACATTATTCATTGGGACAATAAAATTGGCATAATTAGCCTTACTTTTCTCAAAATTATCCCACTTCTATACAAACTTTTTGTCCTAACTTCCAAAAAGTATCTCATTCTTAGCTTTGGGACAATCATGAGGAAAGTGATATAATTTTGAAGTACTAATTTATTAAATATCTAATATATGTTAATTATATTATAATGTATAATATATCTTAATTGTATTATATTATAAAATTCTATTTTAACGTAAGATAATAAAATATCATATAAAATTATTTTATATAACATTATTATACTAGGTTTTATACACGTGCAATGTACGTTGCTAAATACCATGATTAAGTATATTTGACTTATTTTCTAACTAAACCTCAGTTCCACTTTAATAGTTTGTGCTCACTTTTGTCTCTATAAACTTTAATATTACGATTATTTATTTTCTTTCATGTTTGTTTAAATGGGTTATACCTAATTTAAATTTTCTTGTTGATATTTCAATTGATAGAAACCAAATATAATTTGAAGCTAATTTGAAATTTTATATTATTTTGACTGACATGAAACTAAGCTTTACTTGAGAAAGTACAATGTTGTAAAAGTAAAAAATATTGCAATAGTGTTATACAAGGAAGGTGAATACTTAAAACCAATAAGGCAAAATAATTGGTTAAAAGTATGCTAAAACGATGTAAAAGAGAATATGAAGTTTGCTCCTAATCATTGATAGACTTCATAAAAAATATAAATTAAAGATTAATGCTAACTCTAGTATACGTTTATATGATAAAAGCATCCATATAAGCATATAAAAGTATTAAAAAAAAGCTCATGAAACTCCCTTCTAAAGAATCCTAAATTCACTAAAAAAAATTAAACTATTTAATAAAATATTCAGAAAATATTATCTTTATTCCTTTTGTTTTATTTTTTTATTGAGCTAAGATCAATCATTCCTCATCTTTATCTTTTTCCTGAGCAATTCTAGAATAGTATGGTCATCATCTACATCGATTGTGACATCAGGCTAGAGTTGTATTTTTTGTGCTGTTATCTTTCTTAGGCTCGCTAATCTTTTATTTTATCGTTTAACTTTACAAAGAAGTTAAATGTATTTTCGGTGTTAAACACAAACTTCTTGAAATACAGAGTTGTGATTTTTTCTATTTTAATGAGAATATATATTAATTTAATATATATGAAATTCTTTGTGTTTCTAATTTATTATTTAAATAAGATTCAGAGCTACCTCTTTTTTTCTCTACAATAAATTCTTCCGATGCGCATCCAATAAGAGTTTCTATTACATCAATAATATTATATTTGTTCTATCCCTATGATTTTCCACAAAGATCTAAATAAATACTGATATTTTTTATTGCCAATTTGACTTAGATTATAATATTAATATTTAATTTCTTTAGTACTTGAAGAACAATGTATGAAATTTATGAATACTTGCTTATTTTCCTTATATCTTCCATAGAGAATTCTTCTTTGATTGAGATAAAGTTATTAAATTATTCTTCAACGTAACTCAATTGGTGCTTCTTTAATAGATATGCCTTATGTTAGTGCCAATTCAAATGATTCATGGATGTTTTTTAAATTTTAGATTTATTTCTGTTACTTTCCCATTTGCAATGGAAATAGCTTGATTCTTTTAAAGGATATATTTGACATTCTGATAGTTTCTCCATACGTAATTCATTGTATTCTTTTACCCTGTAAATATTATTAACATCAGAGATTAATGATTCTAAATTATAATCAATTAATGTTAAGCTATTATATTATAGTCTTTTATCAATTTTATGGATTTAAACATCTATCAATTAACGTTACTAATGTATTTTTTCTTCTCCAACTTATTAGTAAAATTATATGTAGTTGCTTTAATTTATATAGTAACGATAATTTTTAAGCTATAATATTTTTTAAATTTTTATTCCTTAACCGGATATTTTTAATCAATTCTTATTATTTTTGTTTACCAGTATCAACTTAGAATACCTAACAATTATACTTTTTTTGCCATGTTTTAAAATTTCAGCCTTTTTTGTGGTTTTGAACTTTGAGGGTGTGATTTGTAATTTTAAAACTTTGGGAGTGTTTTTAAAAAAAATTATTTTTAAGTTTCTTAGTTGTAACTTCTATGTTTCATGTGTCGGTGGTAAATTTTAAATGTCACGATATTTCTTGCAACTCTGAAATTTTTAAGATGTTTTTTGTAATTATTAAAACTGTAGATTAATTTAAAAAAAATTAAATTTTAGTGGTCTACCAATAGTTTTAAGATTTAATGTGCACTGGTTATAAAATTTAAAAATTTAGAGTTTTTTTATAAGTTTTAATTTTTGAAATAGTTTTTTCTATAATTTTTGTAACTTTGAGGTTAATTTCGACAAATTTTTAATTTTTAGGTTCATGAGGGTAATCTCTTGAGTTTATCTTTTGTTGCTTGCAAATTTAAAATTTTTAGAATTTTAGGGTTGTTTTTTTATAATTTGAACTTTTGAGGGTATTTCTATAATTTTTGGGACATTGAGGGTATTAATTGAAAATTTTAAATTCTTTGGAGGCTGTAGTTAATTTCTTAATTTCATATTTATTATTTTAAGTTTTGAAATGTTAGAATTTTTTTGGTGTATTATGGTAATCCCTTAAATTCATCTATGTTGTTTGTAAGTTTTAAAATTTTAGAATTTCAGGTGCTTGTTTGTAATTTAAACTTTTGAGGGTAATTCTATAATTTTTGAGATATTGAGGTGTTAACTGAAAATTTTAAATTCTTCCCAAACTACTGTTACTTTCTTGATTTCATGTTTGTTATTTTAAGTTTTTAGACGTCAGGATAGTTTTTATAATTTTAAACTTTTTAGGATATTTTGTATAATTTTAAAACTTTTTAGCTTTTTTTGCCATACTTTATGTATTATAGTATGTTAGCTACGTATAATTTCTTTATCTTAAGAAACTAATAACATAAAGATGTTATATATATATTATTAATATTATTTTTTAAATTGTTAAGCTACAAGTAGTTCACGTTGGATTAGGATATGATATAATTAGGATTAGGATAGATTAAGATATAAATAAAATATTTAAAATAGTGAAGGCTAATATTGACCATAGAAAGATTTTCTCGAACTCGTGCTTTTAAAAGGAGTATGATATTATTATTACATATGAAAGCAAGGGGGGGGGGGGGTTGTGAATAGGGTTATTGCTAATCTTATTAGATATTAATGCCGATTAAAACTTATTAACAAAATTATTCTTGCAAGATGGATATGCAATGTGATATGAGCAAGAATGAGCAATATAAACAAAGTGCAATATCCTAACAATGAGATCCACAATGAGATATATGCAAGGATAAGCAAAAACAAATGTGATAGGGCAATATAAACAATGAGCAATGGCGAATAAAATAGACTAAGCAATAGACACAAATGATACACCAATGCAAACTCTAACACACAAGGATGATCACGGAGTTCAGACCTTCCGTCCTACGCCTCCGATCCCCACTCCCGGGGAGAAATCCACTATGACAACCGGGTTTTCTACGCTCACCCAAATAACGTTTACACTTCGCAACTCGGTTTTCTAGTTCACCAAAAACTTTACAACTATACACTTGCAATCACACTCTACACCCTCTAAGTATTGACCTAGCCCGTGTCCTCTTCCTCAAGTGCTCGGATTTACAACCTCTCTCTAGGCTTTACAACCGATGCCACTCCTCTTAGAATCGACCCCGTCTCTCATCAACCACTCCTCTCGGTGTACAAGTGTAATACAATGTGTAACTCGCAATAATGCTCAAATACAAGAATTTGTTCTCTACAATAGGTGAGAACACAATGTAAGCTCTCTCTCTCACAATATCACAATCCCACAACCCAGTATATGATGTATGAAATACTAAAAGCTCAAATAGGGTGTGTGTGTGATAAAATGAGTATAAATAAAATCTAACTAAATTAGCAAACTAGCAATAATAAGAATATAAAATTAATAATACAATTGCTAGAGAAAAGAGTTAGAAAAACTTCTCTATAAACACAATAGAGGATGAAGAAGATTGAGGATGAATTCCTCAATTGAAATGCAAGCCTCCTCTTTGTAAACTCAAACTTAGAAACTTAAACAAACTTTAAAACACTTTAAACTCCTTTTTAAAAC